GTTGGGGGGGGCAGCGGGCGTGGGGAGGCACTTTTCCTCTGCCCGGCAGCTCTGCGGGACCCCAGTCGGAGCCGGCCCGAGGAGGAGGATCCTAGGACCCAGGTGAGCGAGCCCCGGGAATGCTGCTGCGCATGTGCGGGAGTTGCCTCACCCCGTTCGTATCTAGGGATCCGACGTAAGTCGGATCCACGTAAGTCGGGGACTGCCTGTACTGAAGTGTCTCACTCTCTATTTAAAGGTGCCTCCTATTCCTTAGATAAACTTTCCGTATGACACTGAAGGTCAGACTCTGGGTCTCAATGAAGTTCCATCAAATAGCTGAAGTGGAAGTCTTTACAGTATTATACCAGAGTAGCTGCAAGAAAAGTGATCAACATCCTCCAAATGTCCTTCTCTCAAATATCTCTTTAAGCTAGACTTTTCTTAAACAAACAACCCTCTCCCACAAAAATAAGAAAGTCATATCCTTCCTGAATCCGTTACCTGCTGAATGACTTCTTCTCTGATGGGCATGAGGAAAAGCAGAGCCCTGGGGGAGTGATATCTACTAGTTTTCTATATGATTCTGATAACTTTTCATTGTGAGATTTGAAGCCTTTTGCAACAGAGTTTCTGCCTAAACTAGCCTGGGTTTTGCACTTGACATGTTCCTAGCTGTAATAATTGTCTCTTATTAGACAGACAGACAGACAGACAGGAACAGAGTTCCAGGGAGAAAGGGACAAAGTTCATATTCCTTGTGAGGGTTTTGGGGGGAATTAATTAGGTGCTACCATAATTTTGAACTTTCTGAGCTCTAGATTGTAGGTGGATTTTTTTTGGTTTTATTTAAAGCGCTTTGTATTAAGGATGTTAAGTGTCAACTAATTGACTAATCGAATAGTCAATGCAAAATGCATCGACTATTCGATTAGCCAGTGGGGGCCTCCCACCTTTGAAGTGTAGCATGGAGCCTGGGATCAGTGGGGGATCCCCTAGCTGACCCTGGGCTCTATGCAACGCTGCCACTTTGAAACGCTGCACTCAGGTTTCGTGCGGCGTTTCAAAGCGGCAGTGTTGCACAGAGCCCAGCGTCAGCTAGGGGGTCCCCCGCTGATCCTGGGCTCCATGCAGTGCTGCCACTTTGAAACGCCATGTGCAGCCTGGGGACACACCAGCTGGCTCCAGGCTGCATGTGGCATTTCAAAATGGCAGTGCCACATGGAGCCCATGGTCTGGCCCCAGGTTGCAAGTGGCGCTGCCGCTTCGAAGTTCCCACTCTTCTCCCTCCTCCCCTATCACTTGCTGCCTCTACCTGGTAGAGGCAGCAAGGGGAGAGAGCAACTAGTCAGCTATCCGATAAGTATTTGCTTGTTGGATAGTTGACTAATCCTTCACATCCCTACTTGGTATGGGCACTTGAAAAAACAGGCATGTTAACTGTACTCATCTAAGCTATTTAAACCTGTGCTACGAAGGTATCCAGTCCTCGAAAAATTACTAGTTGTTTAGCTTTTTTCAATCACAACAAGGTATCCCTCTCCTTTAACCAAGAAGTTATGTGAAATCTGAGTCTCACACTAATGCATAAAGTGTTTTTACTTTCCTCTTACAACATTTTAGCACACTGGTTTTCAGTGATTTTATTTACTTAAACAATGGAGCTTATAAATACAATACAGGCAGTCCCCGACTTACGTGGATCCGACTTACGTCGGATCCCTAGATACGAACGGGGTGAGGCAACTCCCGCACATGCGCAGCAGCATTCCCGGGGCTCGCTCACCTGGGTCCTAGGATCCTCCTCCTCCTCGGGCCGGCTCCGACTGGGGTCCCGCAGAGCTGCCGGGCAGAGGAAAAGTGCCCCCCCACGCCCGCTGCCCCCCCTGCCAGCAACAGGCTCCCCCCTCCCCTGAGCAACAGGCTGCTGAACAGACAAAAGCAGCCTCTCTGCCCCTCCTCCCCTCTATACATGGCGCGCTCCCG